GACCAGTGCATCTGGTCAACACTCCACACTCACAGACCAGTGCATCTGGTCAACACTCTACACTCACTGACAAGTGCATCTGGTCAACACTCTACACTCACAGACCAGTGCATCTGGTCAACACTCTACACTCACAGACCAGTGCATCTGGTCGACACTCTAAACTCACATACCAGTGCATCTGGTCGACACTCTACACTCACAGACCAGTGCATCTGGTCAGTACTCTACACTCACAGACCAGTGCATCTTGTAAACACTCTAAACTCACAAACCAGTGCATCTCATCGACACTCTAAACTCACAGACCAACGCATCTGGTTGACACTCTAAACTCACAGACCAGTGCATCTCATCAACACTCTACACTCACAGACCAATGCATCTGATCGACACTCTACACTCACAGACCAGTGCATCTGGTTGACACTCTACACTCACAGACCAGTGCATCTGGTCAACACTCTACACTCACAGACCAGTGCATCTGGTAGTTACTCTACACTTACAGAAAAGGCAAGAAGGACACATACTCAAACTTAGAAACATTAAGACTGGAACTCTTCCGTGGCTACTGAAGACAGGGAGAGAGCAATTATGGGATGTCAGTTCTTCATTCAGCTTAACTTTCCATGTAATTACCATTAAAATATGGCACATCTTTTTACAAAACAAGCTTCTATTTACAATGCTTACAATAAATAATGCACCAAAGAGATACACAATTTTTTTATTTACCAAGTTTAATGGACAAGAGGTCACTCATTCTTTTTGTACAAAAGTCCTATACAATTTTATAACATGCTAATTAAAGTGTAGGGCATCTAACATCATCTACAATGTTCTAACCTTGCTGGTTAAAGTGTAGGGCACCTAACATCATCTACAATGTTCTAACCTTGCTGGTTAAAGTGTAGGGCACCTAACATCATCTACAATGTTCTAACCTTGCTGATTAAAGTGTAGGGCATCTAACATCATCTAAATGTTCCTTGCTGGTTAAAGTGTAGGGCACCTAACATCATCTACAATGTTCTAACCTTGCTGATTAAAGTGTAAGCCACCTAACATCATCTAAAATGTTCTAACCTTGCTAATTAAAGTGTAGGGCGTCTAACATCATCTACAATGTTCTAACCTTGCTGATTAAAGTGTAGGGCACCAAACATCTACAATGTTCTAACCTTGCTGGTTAAAGTGTAGGGCACCTAATATCTACAATGTTCTAACCTTGCTGATTAGAGTGTAGGGCACCCAACATCATCTACAATGTTCTAACCTTGCTGGTTAAAGTGTAGGGCACCTAACATCTACAATGTTCTAACCTTGCTGATAAAAGTGTAGGGCACCTAACATCATCTACAATGTTCTAACCTTGCTGATTAAAGTGTAGGGCATCTAACATCTACAATGTTCTAACCTTGCTAATTAAAGTTTAGGGCACCTAACATCATCTACAATGTTCTAACCTTGCTGATTAAAGTGTAGGGCACCTAACATCTACAATGTTCTAACCTTGCTAATTAAAGTGTAGGGCACCTAACATCATCTACAATGTTCTAACCTTGCTGATTAAAGTGTAGGGCACCTAACATCATCTACAATGTTCTAACCTTGCTAATTAAAGTGTAGGGCATCTAACATCATCTACAATGTTCTAACCTTGCTGATTAAAGTGTAGGGCACCTAACATCATCTACAATGTTCTAACCTTGCTAATTAAAGTGTAGGGCATCTAACATCTACAATGTTCTAACCTTGCTGATTAAAGTGTAGGGCACCTAACATCATCTACATTGTTCCAACCTTGCTGATTAAAGTGTAGGGCATCTAACATCATCTACAATGTTCTAACCTTGCTGATAAAAGTGTAGGGCACCTAACATCATCTACAATGTTCTAAACTTGCTGATTAAAGTGTAGGGCATCTAACATAATCTACAATGTTCTAACCTTGCTGATTAAAGTGTAGGGCACCTAACATCTACAATGTTCTAACCTTGCTGATTAAAGTGTAGGGCACCTAACATCACCTACAATGTTCTAACCTTGCTGATTAAAGTGTAGGGCACCTAACATCACCTACAATGTTCTAACCTTGCTGATTAAACTGTAGGGCACCTAACATCATCTACAATGTTCTAACCTTGCTGATTAAAGTGTAGGGCACCAAACATCTACAATGTTCTAACCTTGCTGATTAAAGTGTAGGGCACCCAACAACATCTACAATGTTCTAACCTTGCTGATTAAAGTGTAGGGCACCTAACATCTACAATGTTCTAACCATGCTGATTAAAGTGTAGGGCACCTAACATCTACAATGTTCTAACCTTGCTGGTTAAAGTGTAGGGCACCTAACATCTACAGTGTTCTAACCTTGCTGATTAGAGTGTAGGGCACCTAACATCATCTACAATGTTCTAACCTTGCTGATTAAAGTGTAGAGCACCTAACATCTACAATGTTCTAACCTTGCTGATTAAAGTGTAGGGCACCTAACATCATCTACAATGTTCTAACCTTGCTGATTAAAGTGTAGGGCACCTAACATCATCTACAATGTTCTAATCTTGCTGATTAAAGTGTAGGGCACCCAACAACATTTACAATGTTCTAACCTTGCTGGTCAAAGTGTAGGGTCACAGTTCCAACAATGGAATAATAGTGTCCACAGTGAGAAAGACTAGTACACTGTCACAGTTCCAACAATGGAATAATAGTGGCCACAGTGAGAAAGATCAGTACATGGTCACAGTTCCAACAATGGAATAGTAGTGGCCACAGTGAGAAAGACCAGTACACGGTCACAGTTCCAACAATGGAATAGTAGTGGCCACAGTGAGAAAGATCAGTACACTGTCACAGTTCCAACAATGGAATAGTAGTGGCCACAGTGAGAAAGACCAGTACACGGTCACAGTTCCAACAATGGAATAGTAGTGGCCACAGTGAGAAAGATCAGTACACTGTCACAGTTCCAACAATGGAATAGTGGCCACAGTGGAAAAGACCAAGAGTTTGATGCAATCCCAACAAAGAAATAGTAGTGAAGAATACACAACCATGGATCCTACTTTTATCATATTTAATTGTAATCATCCTGTTATTACTTCTTTTTTGTATATTACAAATGAAATCACAGAGAACAGTGAAATTGAAAATATACAGTTTAAGAAAAAAATTGTTTAAGAAACAATGGGACTGAAACTAAATTACCAATATTTAACAATGATGCATATGTATTGTCTGTTATATTGGCAGAAAGTTCATCAACCTCTGGACTTTGGTCTTGTTCCAAAACTTCAACTTTGCCTGCACATCTGTTTAACAGACATATGCAGACCTATATGTCGGCTAGATCTAACTTTCAAGTAAGAGAACAGAGACATTTAATTTATAAAACAAAGTAATGTAAGGGATGTAAGAGAAAGAAATATTCAAAGGCATGTCAATCCAGCATTTATAAAACAAGGAAAAAACACACCAGTAGTGTAGGGCTTGAACGCAGCACCTTCTGATTGTAAGGAAGATGTTATACCAACTACACATGACAAGAAGGCCTGAACATTTGAACAGTATTTTACACCAGCAGACCGACTGACACCAGAATAAAAAGCACACTTGGGCCTTGCACCCCTTGAAATAGTCAAGTGCCAGGTAACCTGTGGATTTCCTGTGCTTGGGGTACCTAAAAAATAAAGTAACCTAATCGACTACCTACATAAAACAACTGGTATATTCTTGAACTATTAGTAATTTACTAGCTACATAAAACAACTGGTATTTTGTTTAACTGATGTTTAAGAAGCTGTTCTTACATTACATCACCAGTGTAAGAAGCTGTTCTAACATTACATCACCAGTGTAAGAAGCTGTTCTGACATTACATCACCAGTGTAAGAAGCTGTTCTTACATTACATCACCAGTGTAAGCTGTTCTGACATTATATCACCAGTGTAAGAAGCTGTTCTTACATTATATCACCAGTGCAAGAAGCTGTTCTGACATTACATCACCAGTGTAAGAAGCTGTTCTGACATTACATCACCTGTGCAAGAAGCTGTTCTGACATTACATCACCAGTGTAAGAAGCTGTTCTTACATTATATCACCAGTGCAAGAAGCTGTTCTGACATTACATCACCAGTGCAAGAAGCTGTTCTGACATTACATCACCAGTGCAAGAAGCTGTTCTGACATTACATCACCAGTGTAAGAAGCTGTTCTTACATTATATCACCAGTGCAAGAAGCTGTTCTGACATTACATCACCAGTGTAAGCTGTTCTGACATTACATCACCTGTGCAAGAAGCTGTTCTGACATTATATCACCAGTGTAAGAAGCTGTTCTTACATTACATCGCCAGTGTAAGAAGCTGTTCTGACATTACATCACCTGTGCAAGAAGCTGTTCTGACATTACATCACCAGTGCAAGAAGCTGTTCTGACATTACATCACCAGTGCAAGAAGCAAGCTGTTCTGACATTATATCACCAGTGTAAGAAGCTGTTCTAACATTACATCACCAGTGCAAGAAGCTGTTCTGACATTACATCACCTGTGCAAGAAGCTGTTCTGACATTACATCACCAGTGCAAGAAGCTGTTCTGACATTATAGCACCAGTGTAAGCTGTTCTGACATTATATCACCAGTGTAAGAAGCTGTTCTGACATTACATCACCAGTGTAAGAAGCTGTTCTGACATTACATCACCAGTGCAAGAAGCTGTTCTGACATTACATCACCTGTGCAAGAAGCTGTTCTGACATTACATCACCAGTGTAAGAAGCTGTTCTGACATTACATCACCAGTGTAAGAAGCTGTTCTGACATTACATCACCAGTGCAAGAAGCTGTTCTGACATTATATCACCAGTGCAAGAAGCTGTTCTGACATTACATCACCAGTGTAAGAAGCTGTTCTGACATTACATCACCAGTGCAAGAAGCAAGCTGTTCTGACATTACATGGAAGCAGCTGTTACATGAAACTATGTCTTTGGGTCACAAGGCCTGGTCAGTCTCTCCCACTCCTGTAGAAAACCTATCAATGAGGAGACAACCCCACACAAGGCAGAACAGCCAGGACTTGCATAGCCTAAACCAGCCAGTGGAATGAAGACATCACAGACATCTCTCCAGAAGTTCAACCGTACACTCCGTACTTGTGCCTGTGGACAAGACAATCAGTTAGTCAGTTAGTTAGTTAATCCATAGATTATTGTCACTGCACATTCGACAAGTCCAGAAGCACTCGGATCCCATCTTCAGCATGTCTCTCAGCGTGTGCTGACTGATAATGCCAGTTTTGTGTTGGTCTGGACAAGACCAGCCATGACCTTCTACAGACCTTCAGTCAATAAGGCTAGGCTGTAAACATATGCTCACTGTACATCCAGTATACACTCCCTCTTGCATCCTCTCAATGTATCCTGGTAGAACCATATCTGAGAAATGTAAACATCAAAATTAATGACAACGACAAATAAACCCCTAAACAGAGAAAGAGAATCTGTCATAAATGCATGTGTTGCACTCCAAGGAGAGATCTGAAATCTTTGATGTGTGGAGAACACGTACAGATGATAGTTGGAGATCACGTGAAGTGAAGAGTTCTCACAAGCTGGCTCCTATGATAGAGCTTAAACATGGCTTCTGGTCTGGGTCATTTCCCTTTTCTGGAGGCACTGAAGATGCCACCTTCCTCATGCTTGATTGTTTATGGGCGTACACACATGCATACAAATACACACCCATGCATACACAGCTGGAGAACTGAGCACACTTGGACCTCAGAAGAAGAGGATGTAATTTCTGGCAAATAATCATCATCTTTTAAATGAGGCCAGCAAAATATTTTAGCGACATTAAAAGACATCACATTTACTACAACAAGCTCTGGTTGGGTGCAAGGAGGAAGGGGGGGGGGGTTCAGAAACCATGGTGAACAGAATGGATTTAGTGAGAGGGTGAACAGGGAAGAATCTGGTGAGAGGGTGAACAGGGAAGGATATAATGAGAGGGTGAACAGGGTAGGATATAGTGAGAGGGTGAGCAGGGAAGGATCTAGTGAGAGGGCGAACAGAGAAGGATATAATGAGAGGGTGAACAGGGGATGATATAGTGAGAGGGTGAACATGGAAGGATTTAATGAGAGGGTGAACAGGGAAGGATCTAGTGAGAGGGTGAACATGGAAGGTTCTGGTAAGAGGGTGACAAGTGGAGGATATAGTGAGAGGGTGAACAGAAAAGGATCTGGTGAGAGGGTGAACAGGGTAGGATATAGTGAGAGGGTGAAAAGGGGAGGATACAGTAAGAGGGTGAACAGGGAAGGATATAGTGAGAGGGTGAACAGGGAAGGATATAGTGAGAGGGTGAACAGGGTAGGATATAGTGAGAGGGTGAACAGGGTAGGATATAGTGAGAGGGTGAACAGGGTAGGATATAGTGAGAGGGTGAACAGGGTAGGATATAGTGAGAGGGTGAACAGGGTAGGATATAGTGAGAGGGTGAACAGGGAAGGATATAGTGAGAGGGTGAACAGGGTAGGATATAGTGAGAGGGTGAACAGGGTAGGATATAGTGAGAGGGTGAACAGGGAAGGATATAGTGAGAGGGTGAACAGGGAAGGATCTAATGAGAGGGTGAACAGAGAAGGACCTAGAGAGAGGGTGAACAGGGAAGGATCAAATGAGAGGGTGAACAGGGAAAGATCTAGAGAGAGGGTGAACAGGGAAGGATCTAGAGAGAGGGTGAACAGGGAAGGATCTAGAGAGAGGGTGAACAGGGAAGGACCTAGAGAGAGGGTGAACAGGGAAGGACCTAGAGAGAGGGTGAACAGGGAAGGACCTAGAGAGAGGGTGAACAGGGAAGGATCAAATAAGAGGGTGAACAAGGAAGGATCAAATGAGAGGGTGAACAGGGAAGGATCAAATGAGAGGATGAACAGGGGCATTACAAGATAAGATAAAGCCAAGAAGAGGATGAAGATGGCAGCCAAGAAGAGATGACAAGAACAGTGACCATTCAAACACAAACAGACCTTCAGATATGGAGTTCTCTGGGCCCTGCCTGTGGACTCCCTGTGAAGCCTGGCTTCTACGTCTAACAAGAGGATCACATCTGCCATACTAGCTGCTATTAGACACACCAGCCAGGCTCTGAGTGACCACCGCGTCCACAGTATAAGGTCAATCTAAGGTCAAGGGATCATAAGAGATTTTTGTAACATACATCAGAATAGATCATTTCCTCTACAACATCCCAACACCACATTACACAACATCCCAACACCACAATCCACAACATCCCAACACCACAATCCACAACATCCCAATCCAAAACACCCCAACACCACAATCCACAACATCCCAACCCACAACATCCCAACACCCCAATCCACAACATCCTGACACCCCAATCCACAACATCCCAACACCACAATCCACAACATCCCAACACCACAATCCACAACATCCCAACACCACAATCCACAACATCCCAATCCAAAACACCCCAACACCACAATCCACAACATCCCAATCCACAACACCCCAACACCACAATCCACAACACCCCAACACCACAATCCACAACACCCCAACCCACAACATTCCAACACCACAATCCACAACATTCCAACACCACAATCCACAACATTCCAACACCACAATCCACAACACCCCAACACCACAATCTACAACACCCCAACACCACAATCCACAACATTCCAACACCACAATCCACAACATTCCAACACCACAATCCACAACATTCCAACCCCACAATCCACAAAATGGATAAGTTCCAAAAATGGTCACAGTGTACACAGTGGATAAACTTTGTATCAAGACACGGCAAATAAAAACTGAATAAAATCTGCAATAGTGTACACCAATGGTTCTGTTCATCGAGGTACAAGATCTAGCTGAGGATTTTCAGCTAGAGTGAAGAGAAATATCGTGCTAGAACCAAATGGTGCTTTGATATCTACTACTTCAAGCAGGAGGATGCAGGTGGAGGCAATCACTGTAGGTTTGAAGCAGATAGCTGAAAACAGATTTCACTGAGGAATGATAGTGTCAGATTCTCAGTTGGTATAGCCGAAGCTTCAACATGGACTTATGTGGCATGAGTGGATATCAAGCATCAGTACGCCAACACTGCAGAGGCTCACTCAGGCGGATATCAAGCATCAGTACGCCGACACTGCAGAGACTCACTCAGGTGGATATCAAGCATCAGTACGCCAACACTGCAGAGACTCACTCAGGCGGATATCAAGCATCAGTACGCCAACACTGCAGAGACTCACTCAGGTGGATATCAAGCATCAGTACGCCAACACTGCAGAGACTCACTCAGGTGGATATCAAGCATCAGTACGCCAACACTGCAGAGACTCACTCAGGTGGATATATTGTCCGGGAAATGCAGGAGTGCGAGGGCATGGAAGAGCAGATTTTCTGGCTGCAAAAGCGATAGCTGTAGGAACACAGTACTTGTAAAGGAGACATTCCAAAGACCAACTATGAATGAATGCTGTTAGAAGACACAAGACTTTGGTGCCAGAACATGTGTGAGAGAACATGTGTGAGAGAACATGTGTGAGAGAACATGTGTGAGAGAACATGTGTGAGACTGTGGGAACCAGCTAACTGGTGTGGATCTGACAAAAGAAGGACACATGAGAACCATCAATTTATAAACAATGGGCTATGAGAATAGTTGGCATCTACACCTTCAGATATTTGCTGCTGGAGACGGAGCATCCATTGTAATCAGGAAACTCACAATATACAGAATGGATGATTTCCTATAAATAACAGAATAAATGAATTCCTATGATGTAGAGAATGGATAATATCTATACAATGAACAGAACGGATAATATCTATACAATGAACAGAATGGATAATATCTATACAATGAACAGAACGGATAATATCTATACGATGAACAGAACGGATAACATCTATATAATGAACAGAATGGATAATATCTATACAATGAACAGAACGGATAATATCTATACAATGAACAGAATGGATAATATCTATACAATGAACTATAAGGCTTAAGCTAAATTGAAATCATAGCAGTTACTGTCTGTATTTAAGTGTACAGTAAACAGTAAATAGCGTGTGTGTAATGGCTTACTTTTTGTCCATTTTTTTCTCTGAAATTTTTCTTAGCACTCTGTGAGAACTAAGAGCCCCTGAGTGCTAAACTAACCCAGAAACTTATCATAACTTTGGAATTTGTTAGGAAATTAAACAAACTTTGAAGTTTTGTTCTCAAATTTGGATATTCACTACTCGTGTGGCTGCAAAATCATGGTAAGTAAAGAATTTTGTTTGCAAAATGTTGTTGTTGTGAAATTAACACCTGCTGAATTCTTCTTTCCTACTAACTATACACAAATTAAACATACACTTTCATCAGGTTCAAAATGTACATTCATTTCTCTTTAGAAATGTACATTCTTTTATAAGGATTAGAAGTATATTACAATCTCTATTGTCTTTCTTGTACACCCAGCCTCTGCCATTTTTGTAAAGGGAAATTAATGTGGGCCAAGACTGTCAAAGTTCATGGGAACAATGCACGTACTGTATATACAATGGTAGATCAGACAGAGACATAGGGGCCTGAAAGAGTTAAGATCTACTGTGAGACGACTCATCTTCCTAACACCAACATTATCACCATAAGAAATGATCTACTGTGAGACTACTCACCTTCATAACACCAACTTTACCAAACCACAAGAAATGATCTACTGTGAGACTACTTACCTTCATAACACCAACTTTACCAAACCACAAGAAATAATCTACTGTGAGACTACTCACCTTCATAACACCAACTTTACCAAACCACAAGAAATAATCTACTGTGAGACTACTCACCTTCATTTCCGTAACTTTACCAAACCACAAGAAATGATCTACTGTGTGACTACTCACCTTCATAACACCAACTTTACCAAACCACAAGAAATGATCTACTGTGAGACTACTCACCTTCATTACCGTAACTTTACCAAACCACAAGAAATAATCTACTGTGAGACTACTCACCTTCATAACACCAACTTTACCAAACCACAAGAAATGATCTATAAATAACCACAGCGATTTCATGGTGAGCGATGTCACAGTCAGTGCTCTGATGCCAGGATGTTCTATAGACAAGGCATCCACAGCTTTATGTGCCAGATCAACACAGTTTCCCAAACGAAACACTAAAGATGAAGACCAATATACTGTTTATTGTGGGAGTCCGAGATGATAAGGTAGTTTGTGTGGGAGTCAGAGATGATAAGGTAGTTTGTGTGGGAGTCAGAGATGATAAGGTAGTTTGTGTGGGAGTCAGAGATGATAAGGTAGTTTGTGTGGGAGTCAGAGATGATAAGGTAGTTTGTGTGGGAGTCAGAGATGATAAGGTAGTTTGTGTAGGAGTCAGAGATGAAAAGGTAGTTTGTGTGGGAGTCAGAGATGATAAGGTAGTTTGTGTGGGAGTCAGAGATGATAAGGTAGTTTGTGTGGGAGTCAGAGATGACAGAGTAGTCTTTGTGGGAGACAAGAAATCACAGTTGTTAGTTTGGGAGGCAGAGATTATAGAGTAGCCTGTGTGGGAGACAGAGATGATAAGGTAGTTTGTGTGGGAGTCAGAGATGATAATGTAGTTTGTGTGGGAGTCAGAGACGATAAGGTAGTTTGTGTGGGAGTCAGAGATGACAGAGTAGTCTGTGTGGGAGACAAGAAACCACAGTTGTTAGTTTGGGAGGCAGAGATTATAGAGTAGTCTGTGTGGGAGACAGAGATGATAGAGTAGTCTGTGTGGGAGACAGAGATGATAAAGTAGTTTGTGTGGGAGTCAGAGATGATAGAGTAGTCTGTGTGGGAGTCAGAGATGATAGAGTAGTCTGTGTAAGAGACAGAGATGATAAAGTAGTCTGTGTGGGAGTCAGAGATGATAGAGTAGTCTGTGTGGGAGACAGAGATGATAAAGTAGTCTGTGTGGGAGTCAGAGATGATAGAGTAGTCTGTGTAAGAGACAGAGATGATAGAGTAGTCTGTGTGGGAGACAGAGATGATAGAGTAGTCTGTGTGGGAGTCAGAGATGATAGAGTAGTCTGTGTGGGAGACAGAGATGATAAAGTAGTCTGTGTGGGAGTCAGAGATGATAGAGTAGTCTGTGTGGGAGACAGAGATGATAAAGTAGTCTGTGTGGGAGACAGAGATGATAAAGTAGTCTGTGTGGGAGACAGAGATGATAAAGTAGTATGTGTGGGAGGCAGAGATGATAGAGTATTCAGTGTGGGTGTCAGAGATTATACAGTAGTCTGTGTGGGAGACATAGATGATAGAGTAGTCTGTGTGGGAGTCAGAGATGACAGAGAAGTCTGTGTGGAAGTCAGAGATGATAGAGTAGTCTGTGTGGGAGTCAGAGGCGATAGAGTAGTCTGTGTGGGAGTCAGATGATAGAGTAGTCTGTGTGGGAGTCAGAGATGACAGAGTATTCTGTGTAAGAGATAGAGATGACAGAGTAGTCTGTGTAAGAGATAGGGATGACAGAGTAGAATGTGTGGGAGAAAGATGTTAGAGTAGTCTGTGTGGAAGATAGAGATGATAGAGTAGTCTGTGTGGGAGTCAGAGATGATAGAGTAGTCTGTGTGGGAGTCAGAGATGATAGAATAGTCTGTGTGGGAGTCAGAGAAGATAGAGTAGTCTGTGTGGGAGTCGGAGATTATAAAATAGTCTGTGTGGGAGTCAGAGATGATAGAGTAGTCAGTGTGGGAGACAGAGATGATAAAGTAGTCTGTGTGGGAGACAGAGATGATAAAGTAGTCTGTGTGGGAGACAGAGATGATAAAGTAGTATGTGTGGGAGGCAGAGATGATAGAGTATTCAGTGTGGGTGTCAGAGATTATACAGTAGTCTGTGTGGGAGACATAGATGATAGAGTAGTCTGTGTGGGAGTCAGAGATGACAGAGAAGTCTGTGTGGAAGTCAGAGATGATAGAGTAGTCTGTGTGGGAGTCAGAGGCGATAGAGTAGTCTGTGTGGGAGTCAGATGATAGAGTAGTCTGTGTGGGAGTCAGAGATGACAGAGTATTCTGTGTAAGAGATAGAGATGACAGAGTAGTCTGTGTAAGAGATAGGGATGACAGAGTAGAATGTGTGGGAGAAAGATGTTAGAGTAGTCTGTGTGGAAGATAGAGATGATAGAGTAGTCTGTGTGGGAGTCAGAGATGATAGAGTAGTCTGTGTGGGAGTCAGAGATGATAGAATAGTCTGTGTGGGAGTCAGAGAAGATAGAGTAGTGTGTGTGGGAGCAGAAATGATATAATAGTCTGTGTGGGAGACAGCTGATAGAGTAGTGTAAGTGGGAGACAAAGATGCTACAATAGTCTGTGTTGTATACAGACATGATACAGTGGTCTGTGTGGGAGATAGAGTTGATATAGTTGTGTGGGAGACTTGGAGGCAGTATAGATGGCCATGTAGTCTGTGTGGGAGACTTGGAGACAGTATAGATGGTCATGTAGTCTGTGTGGGAGACTTGGAGACAGTATAGATGACCCTGTAGTTTGTGTGGGAGACTTCGAGACAGTGTAGATGGCCATGTCACCTGTGTGGGAGACCTCGAGACATTGTAGATGGTCATGTCACCTGTGTGGGAGACCTCGAGACATTGTAGATGGTCATGTCACCTGCGTGGGAGACTTCGAGACATTGTAGATGGTCATGTCACCTGTGTGGAAGACCTCGAGACATTATAGATGGTCATGTCACCTGTGTGGGAGACTTGGAGGCAGTATAGATGGCCTTGTAACCTGTGTGGGAGACTTGGAGACAGTATAGATGGCCTTGTAACCTGTGTGGGAGACTTGGAGACAGTATACATGAGAGTATTAAGAATGGTTGAGATGGCAAAGAAGTTTTTCTTTGTTAGCCTCAGGGAGGCTGACATGGTATAGACGGCCAACTATTTTGTGTGGGGAAATTGTGAGGCTGTCAAGATTGCCAGCAGCCTGATGTGTGTGGTGTTGTAGGGAAAATGTGAGATTGTCAAGATTGCCAGCAGCCTGATGTGTGTGGTGTTGTAGGGAAAATGTGAGATTGTCAAGATTGCCAGAAGCCTGCAGTGTCAGGTGTTGTAGGGAAAATGTGAGATTGTCAAGATTGCCAGCAGCCTGCTGTGTGTGGTGTTGTAGGGAAAATGTGAGATTGTCAAGATTGCCAGAAGCCTGCAGTGTCAGGTGTTGTAGGGAAAAAGTGAGATTGTCAAGATTGCCAGAAGCCTGCAGTGTCAGGTGTTGTAGGGAAAAAGTGAGATTGTCAAGATTGCCAGAAGCCTGCAGTGTCAGGTGTTGTAGGGAAAAAGTGAGATTGTCAAGATTGCCAGAAGCCTGCAGTGTCAGGTGTTGTAGGGAAAATGTGAGATTGTCAAAACTACCCGGAGCCTGCAGTGTCAGGTGTTGTAGGGAAAATGTGAGATTGTCAAAACTACCCGGAGCCTGCAGTGTCTGGTGTTGTAGGGAAAAACTGAGTAAATGTGATGACTGCACAAAAGAGATAGCTGAGACCGGTTGCACTTACACTTGCGAGACAAGCTCAGTGCAGCTTCTAGTTTAGACAGCCTGGTAATGACCTCCCTGTGCCTGTCTGGAGAGCCATGTGTCAGCTGCCACAGGAGTAACCTGGAGCCATACTGAGCCAGTCTGAAGACAAATGTAGAATGTGAACTTCCTAGTTTTCAACTTGACCAATCACTTGTGTTATCTATAATCCTGTTTGTATCCAAAATGATACACTTAGAATCTCTGAGACACAGCCAAGTGTACAGACTTCTGAATGTAAATGAAAAATAAGTATGTACATCTGTCCTACATTAATGTAAAAAAGTGTGTATATCTGCCATACACAAATGTAAAATAAGTTTGCATATCTGCCGTACACAAATGTAAAATAAGTTTGCATATCTGCCGTACAAAAATGTAAAAAACAGTCTGTACATTTGCCGTACACAAATATAAAATAAGTCTGTAATCTGCCACACACAAATGTTAAAAAAAAAGTCTGTATATCTGTGCTACACAAATGCAAAATAAGTCTGTATATCTGTCGTAAACAAATGTAAAACTCATGTCAGAAATTGAACAACCACAAACAGAAAGCCCTTCTATCAAGAGTGAAGTGTCAAAAGCATGCCTGGTCTAACTGTGAAAGTCATCCTGAATCTTTGAAAGACACAATCTTTGACACACAATCTTTGACACACAATCTTTGACACACAATCTTTGACACATAATCTTTGACACACAATCTTTGACACACACAAACCTTTCAGGAAAATTGAGAAGATGAAAGTGAATAGATTCCACATTAGGAGCACTAAAGAATGTACAGACAGGATGACCAACATTACACTGCAAAAACTATAAGAGCACCATGTTCCTATATAAACAGACCAATATAACAGAGCAAGGGCTATAAGAGCACTATCTTCTTATATAAACAGACCAACATAACAAAGCAAGTACTATGAGAGCACTGATTCCTATATAAACAAGCCAACATAACACAGCAAGGACTATAAGAGCACCATGTTCCTATATAAATAGACCAACATTACAAAGCAAGGACTATGAGGGCACAGATTCCTATATAAACAAGCCAACATAACAGAGCAAGGACTATAAGAACACTATCTTCCTATGTGAACAGACCAACATAACAGGGCAAGGACTATGGGAGCACCATCTTCCTATATAAACAAGCCAACATAACAGAGCAAGGTCTATAAGAGCACCATCTTTCTTTATAAAGAGAACTCAGAGTTCATCAATGTATGTTTGCTCAGTGACTCAATAAGCGTGTACAGAAGATCAAGGCGGGGTACACACGGAAACAGTGGCTCCATCTGATACAGCCTACAGTGTTTTGCAAAATCACCTTCATTTTTGTCACATGGTGTGAAAGGCAGTGAGAGTGCAGACGCTCTGGCTGGCAGTGGGACTATCAGGAATGGTCCCTCTATGGACAGGAGAGACGTCATCAATACCATACCAGAGATGAACTCTTTTGAGTCCCAGGGGGTTGTTCATCAGAGGCCCAAGGGGTAGTCAAGAGAGATGTTAAATCGGCGCATCATGCGTTCATTGGGCCTCTAAGAAGGAAACTATGAACGTATGATGTGTTCCTTGGGACTCAAAGATTTAAACGTTGTGAGGCTTTCAGTTTCATAGAACATGATTGTTCACTGAATAGACTGCACACTCTAGGCATACGAACTAGAGCAGCGAGACAAGAAAACCATGCGGAAGCCACCCGTCGTTAAATCCACCAGAACAGAATGGGAGTTGTTGCTGGGAAATAAAGTCATCACTCTCAGTTGAAGCTATGGACTACACTAGGAAGAGACTAGCTAGGAAATAAAGTCATCCCTCTCAGATGAAGTTATGGACTACTAACACTAGGAAGAGACTATCTAGGAAATAAAGTCATCCCTCTCAGTTGAAGCTATGGACTACATTAGGAAGAGACTAGCTAGGAAATAAAGTCATCCCTCTCAGTTGAAGCTATGGACTACATTAGGAAGAGACTAGCTAGGAAATAAAGTCATCCCTCTCAGTTGAAGCTATGGACTACACTATGAAGAGACTATATAGGAAATAAAGTCATCCCTCTCAGATGAAGCTATGGACTACACTAGAAAGAGACTAGCTAGGAAATAAAGTCATCCCTCTCAGTTGAAGCTATGGGCTACACTAGGAAGAGACTAGCTAGGAAATAAAGTCATCCCTCTCAGATGAAGCTATGGACTACACTAGAAAGAGACTAGCTAGGAAATAAAGTCATCCCTCTCAGTTGAAGCTATGGGCTACACTAGGAGGAGACTAGCTAGGAAATAAAGTCATCCCTCTCAGATGAAGCTATGGACTACACTAGAAAGAGACTAGCTAGGAAATAAAGTCATCCCTCTCAGATGAAGCTATGGACTACACTAGAAAGAGACTAGCTAGGAAATAAAGTCATCCCTCTCAGATGAAGCTATGGACTACACTAGAAAGAGACTAGCTAGGAAATAAAGTCATCCCTCTCAGATGAAGCTATGGACTACACTAGAAAGAGACTAGCTAGGAAATAAAGTCATCCCTCTCAGTTGAAGCTATGGGCTACACTAGGAGGAGACTAGCTAGGAAATAAAGTCATCCCTCTCAGTTGAAGCTATGGACTACACTAGGAAGAGACTAGCTAGGAAATAAAGTCATCCCTCTCAGTTGAAGCTATGGACTACACTAGGAAGAGACTAGCTAGGAAATAAAGTCATCACTCTCAGTTGAAGCTATGGACTACACTAGAAAGAGACTAGCTAGGAAATAAAGTCATCCCTCTCAGATGAAGCTATGGACTACACTAGAAAGAGACTAGCTAGGAAATAAAGTCATCCCTCTCAGTTGAAGCTATGGGCTACACTAGGAGGAGACTAGCTAGGAAATAAAGTCATCCCTCTCAGTTGAAGCTATGGACTACACTAGGAAGAGACTAGCTAGGAAATAAAGTCATCCCTCTCAGTTGAAGCTATGGACTACACTAGGAAGAGACTAGCTAGGAAATAAAGTCATCCCTCTCAGTTGAAGCTATGGACTACACTAGAAAGAGACTAGCTAGGAAATAAAGTCATCCCTCTCAGTTGAAGCTATGGGCTACACTAGGAAGAGACTAGCTAGGAAATAAAGTCATCCCTCTCAGTTGAAGCTATGGACTACATTAGGAAGAGACTAGCTATGAAATAAAGTCATCCCTCTCAGTTGAAGCTATGGACTACACTAGGAAGAGACTAAACGTTATGAGACAGCTCTGACCCCCAGTCTCCATGACCCAAAGAACTTAGAAGTTAGAAGAATTCGTGAATCAATATTATTTGAATATTTGTAAGACCAACCGAAATATTTTGTCCCTGGCTGAAGTGCTTGAGCTGAATTTGATGAAATCTCTTGCGAGAGACATTGCCAGTGAAGTGTGACGATCTGTGACTGTGCTAGAAGGACAGTTGATTAAATGCGAGAACTATTTCCATGGTGCCAGCTCTCTTCAATCTTTGTTTTTCAAACATGCAGAAGCCAGACGTGACCTTTAACCCAGAAGGGTAGACTACTACCATCTTCTCTGGTAGAATTATAAATTCGTCTTTTCTCTTTAATAAGACCGGAGACTTGGTAGCTTTGTCGAGACTTGGTAGCTTTGTCTAGCTAACTGCAGGTTGAACGTGGTTGTGATTTTTTTTTTCTAGAGTAACGCGGACCGGGACCAGTGTTGCCACTTTGGATCTTTTATATCCAAATTTAGATCTTTTTCATTGCATTTAGATACTGTTTTTGACGTTTAGATCGTAAATATTTTTCCAGACACTTTTCATATGGAGTTAGATATTTTATAGAATTTTTTCTTTCTTTCATTGTCAATTTAATAATTACTGTGTAAAATATTTACTACAATATTTTGTTTTGGTCTGGCACGTACATTGTGACAACTTCCATTACTTGATATTTGAACTCTCACTGGGGTCAACGCACAAATATCTGGCAGCCCCGGTAATGATTAATAAAAACGCGCGTAAATCATACTTTGTTTCAACCGTATCCTCACTGTGCTGACTTTGCGTTTCTTTTTCATGTGATTTAGAAAAAATAATTGCTCACCTTCTTATGTAGCTTTCACTTTGAAAAAACCTTTCAACATGCCGAAAGTAAAGTATGAGCAACAAATTTGGAAAGAGTGGTTACATGATGACAAAATTAAAAACTGGGGATATGACAAAGCTTGTTGTAAGTACTGTAAGTGTGAAATTAAAGCGAAAATACAAAACTCAAAGAGTCATGCAGAGACTAAAAAAGCATAAAACTGCAGTTTCATTTAAAGGTATTACACCGCTGACATCTGTTTTCAGAACTATACTGATAAATGAATCATCAAAAGTTGAAGTATCAGTCGCAATGTTTTTAATTTGTCACTGCGCAATTTCAAACTGTGACCATTTGATCGATTTGTAAAAAATCTTAGACTAGTTCAATTTGAAAAGTGTGATGTAGAAAGTATAGTTTAGCAACTGAAGGACCTTTTAATCACCAAACAGTTAGGCTTGAAGAATTAGGCTGTAATTGGTACTGATAATGCGTCAGTGATGGTTGGTATAAACAATTGCGTTTATGCCAAATTGAAGGAAGCTAACCCCTCGTTAATACTTTTAAAATGTATGCGTCATTCATTGCAGCTAGCACTATCACATGCTTCATCTAAATATTTACCAAGGAATTTGGATGAGACTAGAGAAATAAGCCTACTGTTCCATTTATAAAGAAATTTGAACAGCTAAAGCATACCAGGGTCATTTTGGATCTGAAGCTTCAACTTCATTACCCAAGCTAAGTTTATCCTGTGGATCTTGTGAGGCAGACATCAGTGAAGGCGAGGACATGATTATGTAGGGTAAGTCATTACAAAAGCTGTGTAATTTTTGACTTTTTCAATTTGGATGTTTTTTTCTAGATCTTTTCCACAGGGATTTAGATCTTTTTAGATATTTTTTGACACCGTATTGGATATTTTTTGTCAAAGAAAAGTGGCAACACTGACCGGGACCAATTAGTAGTCTACAGTAGAGCCACACTGAACTACAGGTTTCCGGCACTGTTTTCTGGTGGCCCAATACTGCTAGGCCATATGGCTAAGAGGTTAAACAGAGTTCAATTTTTTTTTTTTTGGAAAGACGTCTTTATAAGAATAAACATAGACGTCTTTTCAAAACTTATCATCTTTACCCACATAAGACTGCAGGTTAGACTAGGCTGGTAGGCCCATTACGAGCGGCCTTGCTAAATATTCTTTGATGGCTGAGCGAGGTATCTGGGACTTTGCCGTGTTGGTCTGCCATTCAGATGAAGATCTTGCAATCGCAGAGTGTCGAACTTTGAGGCAGTATCCAGGAAGTTAATCAACAGACATAAAACAGTGTCACTGAAGGGAGAACAATCATCCAGGCGGTCATCCAATCAGCAGATGAAAGCAGTAGAGATGTTAGACCACTACCGTGCCGTCCATATGAGCAGTGCACGAAATGCTAACAAATAAACAACGCCAAAATACGTTTTTTTTTTAAAGAAAAATTATGTTTGCAGATTAAAGTCAAAGGATCGACTTTGTTGGAGCAGTTTGTATACCATTTTGCTTGATCTCTCCATGAGAACGGCTGAAGCAGGAACTCTGTAACCCCAACAATAACATCGTGATCTCTGTGAAAACTATGCTCGCGACCCGAACTAAGCAGTCGGGACACGAACCCAGACCTCCAGGATGAGAGGAAATGGTTTTATCGCTGAATCACTGCATTCGAAAACGGAGATATAACATGTAATGTGTCATAGCGACCGTCCAGGATTTGCATTCCGTGGGATACGTGTCTGCTGTTGTTTCCTATCTCCGCGAAGACATACAAGACACCACAGAACAAAGGATGCTCCCCACGGGACACGTTAGCAGACTAGTCGCTGTTGACAAGCTCACGTAAACATTGATTAAACGTGCAGGCAGATCTAGTATAGTTGTAGGATAGTTGCAAACGTGGAACGTGAGAGACAAAACACAATGACTGCTGCAACAGCCACATGGCGGATAGACACACACATCTATGTTACATACCCAAACATCTCCATTTTCTCTATCAGAGTGTGGGTATGCAACATCTTCAATATGTCTATCAGATGTGTGGGTATATATCATCTCCTGTATCTCTATTAGATGTGTGGGTATATACCATCTCCGGTATCTCTATCAGATGTGTGGGTATATACCATCTCTTGTATCTCTATCAGATGTGTGGGTCTGTAACATCTCCTGTATCTCTATCAGATGTGTGGGTATATACCATCTCTTGTATCTCTATCAGATGTGTGGGTATATACCATCTCTTGTATCTCTATCAGATGTGTGGGTATATACCATCTCTTGTATCTCTATCAGATGTGTGGGTCTGTAACATCTCCTGTATCTCTATTAGATGTGTGGGTATATACCATCTCTTGTATCTCTATCAGATGTGTGGGTCTGTAACATCTCTTGTATCTCTATTAGATGTGTGGGTCTGTAACACCTCCTGTATCTCTATAAGATGTGTGGGTATATACCATTTCTTGTATCTCTATCAGATGTGTGGGTCTGTAACATCTCCTGTATCTCTATCAGATGTGTGGGTCTGTAACATCTCCTGTATCTCTATCAGATGTGTGGTTATATAACATCTCCTGTATCTCTATCAGATGTGTGGGTCTGTAACATCTCCTGTATCTCTATCAGATGTGTGGGTCTGTAACATCTCCTGTATCTCTATCAGATGTATGGTTATATAACATCTCCGTATCTCTATCAGATGTATGGTTAAATAACATATCCTGTATCTCTATCAGATATATGGTTGTATAACATCTCCTTATCTCTATCAGAAGTGTGGGTATATATCATCTCCTGTATCTCTATCAGATGTGTGGCTATCATCACAGTGCAGAGACAGAAATCAGGGGTATTGTGTAGGTGACATCACAGTGCAAGGACAGACATCAGGGGTATCATGTAGGTGACATCACAGTGCTGGGACAGACATCAGGGGTATCATGTAGGTGACATCACAGTGCAAGGACAGACATCAGGGGTATCATGTAGGTGACATTACAGTGCTGAGACAGACATCAGGGGTATCATGTAGGTGACATCACAGTGCTAGGACAGACATCAGGGGTATCATGTAGGTGACATCACAGTGCTGGGACAGACATCAGGGGTATCATGTAGGTGACATCACAGTGCAAGGACAGACATCAGGGGTATCATGTAGGTGACATTACAGTGCTGAGACAGACATCAGGGGTATCATGTAGGTGACATCACAGTGCTAGGACAGACATCAGGGGTATCATGTAGGTGACATCACAGTGCTGGGACAGACATCAGGGGTATCATGTAGATGACATTACAGTGCTGGGACAGAGGTCAGGGGTATTAGCTCCTTGGAAAGCAATCTGTATGAGACACATGTTTGGGCAGTGGCCGCTTGTGAAACTCAACAGTAAATGTTTGTAAACGTAGCTCTAGCAGCGAAAGTCTCACAGCAACATGCCGATGGTGTTTGTTGAAGACAGTCCATCATTGTCACCGTTTGGTGGACACCCAACAGCCCATACATGACGTCACGAGCTGGTCGACAGTATAGATCTACGCTCCAGAATAAATCTACGTGCGTTCGTTTCATTCTTGGGTAGCCACAACTAGCTGGTCAGACTGAACTCCAGGTGAAAAAGGGAAGGTAGCTGTTTGTTTCATTCTTGTGTAGCCACACTTAACTGCTCAGATTTAACTCCAGGTGACAAAGTGAAGGTATGTCTTGTGTTTGTACAATCACAATGTCTCATATGTCTTGTGTTTGTACTTACAGTCACAATGTCTCAAATGTCTTGTGTTTGTACTTACAGTCACAATGTCTCAAATGTATTGTGTATGTACTTATAGTAACAATGTCTCATATGTCTTGTGTATGTACTTACAGTCACAATGTCTCATATGTCTTGTGTATGTACTTACAGTAACAATGTCTCATATGTCTTGTGTATGTACTTACAGTCACAATGTCTCATATGTCTTGTGTATGTACTTACAGTCACAATGTCTCATATATCTTGTGTATGTACTTACAGTCACAATGTCTCATATGTCTTGTGTATGTACTTACAGTCACAATGTCTCAAATGTCTTGTGTATGTACTTACAGTCACAGTGTCTCATATGTCTTGTGTATGTACTTACAGTCACAATGTCTCATATGTCTTGTGTATGTACTTACAGTCACAGTGTCTCATATGTCTTGTGTATGTACTTACAGTCACAATGTCTCATATGTCTTGTGTATGTACTTACAGTCACAGTGTCTCATATGTCTTGTGTATGTACTTACAGTCACAATGTCTCATATGTCTTGTGTATGTACTTACAGTCACAATGTCTCATATGTCTTGTGTATGTACTTACAGTCACAATGTTTCATATGTCTTGTGTATGTACTTACAGTCACAATGTCTCATATGTCTTGTGTATGTACTTACAGTCACAATGTCTTATATATCTTGTGTATGTACTTACAGTCACAATGTCTCATATGTCTTGTGTATGTACTTACAGTCACAATGTCTTATATATCTTGTGTATGTACTTACAGTCACAATGTCTCATATGTCTTGTGTATGTACTTACAGTCACAATGTCTCATATGTCTTGTGTATGTACTTACAGTCACAATGTCTTATATGTCTTGTGTATGTACTTACAGTCACAATGTCTCATATGTCTTGTGTATGTACTTACAGTCACAATGTCTCATATGTCTTGTGTATGTACTTACAGTCACAATGTCTTATATATCTTGTGTATGTACTGTCACTGTCTCATATGTCTTGTGTATGTACTTACAGTCACAATGTCTTATATATCTTGTGTATGTACTTACAGTCACAATGTCTCATATGTCTTGTGTATGTACTTACAGTCACAATGTCTCATATGTCCCTTGTATGTACTTACAGTCACAATGTCGCATGGCTTGTGTATGTACTTACAGTAACAATGTCTCATATGTCTTGTGTATGTACTTACAGTAACAATGTCTCATATGTCTTGTGTATGTACTTACAGTCACAGTGTCTCATATGTCTTGTGTATGTACTTACAGTCACAATGTCTCATATGTCTTGTGTATGTACTTACAGTCACAATGTCTTATATTTCTTGTGTATGTACTTACAGTCCACATGTCTATTTCTTGTGTATGTACTTACAGTCACACAATGTCTCATATGTCTTGTTGTATGTACTTACAGTCACAATGTCTCATATGTCTTGTGTATGTACTTACAGTCACAATGTCTTACAGTCACAGTGTCGCATATGTCTTGTATATGTACTTACAGTCACAGTGTCTCATATGTCTTCTGTATGTACTTACGGTAACAGTGTCGAATATGTCTTGTTATGTACTTACAGTCACAATGTCTCATATGTCTTGTGTATGTACTTACAGTAACGATGTCTTATATGTCTTGTGTAAGTACTTACAGTAAGGATGTCTCACATGTCTTGTATATGTACTTACAGTCACAATCTCTCATATGTCTTGTGTATGTACATACAGTCACAATGTCTCATATGTCTTGTGTATGTACTTACAGTCACAATGTCTCATATGTCTTATGTTACTTACAGTCACAATGTCTCATATGTCTTGTGTATGTACTTACAGTCACAATGTCTCATATGTCTTGTGTATGTACTTACAGTCACAATGTCTCATATGTCTTGTGTATGTACTTACAGTCACAATGTCTCATATGTCTTGTGTATGTACTTACAGTCACAATGTCTCATATGTCTTGTGTATGTACTTACAGTCACAATGTCTCATATGTCTTGTGTATGTACTTACAGTCACAATGTCTCATATGTCTTGTGTATGTACTTACAGTCACAATGTCTCATATTTCTTGTGTATGTACTTACAGTCACAATGTCTCATATGTCTTGTGTATGTACTTACAGTCACAATGTCTCATATGTCTTGTGTATGTACTTACAGTCACAATGTCTCATATGTCTTGTGTATGTACTTACAGTCACAATGTCTCATATGTCTTGTGTATGTCACTGTACAGTACTTACAGTCACAATGTCTCATATGTCTTGTGTATGTACTTACAGTCACAATGTCTCATATGTCTTGTGTATGTACTTACAGTCACAATGTCTCATATGTCTTGTGTATGTACTTACAGTCACAATGTCTCATATGTCTTGTGTATGTACTTACAGTCACAATGTCTCATATGTCTTGTGTATGTACTTACAGTCACAATGTCTCATATGTCTTGTGTATGTACTTACAGTCACAATGTCTCATATGTCTTGTGTATGTACTTACAGTCACAATGTCTCATATGTCTTGTGTATGTACTTACAGTCACAATGTCTCATATGTCTTGTGTATGTACTTACAGTCACAATGTCTCATATGTCTTGTGTATGTACTTACAGTCACAATGTCTCATATGTCTTGTGTATGTACTTACAGTCACAATGTCTCATATGTCTTGTGTATGTACTTACAGTCACAATGTCTCATATGTCTTGTGTATGTACTTACAGTCACAATGTCTCATATGTCTTGTGTATGTACTTACAGTCACAATGTCTCATATGTCTTGTGTATGTACTTACAGTCACAATGTCTCATATGTCTTGTGTATGTACTTACAGTCACAATGTCTCATATGTCTTGTGTATGTACTTACAGTCACAATGTCTCATATGTCTTGTGTATGTACTTACAGTCACAATGTCTCATATGTCTTGTGTATGTACTTACAGTCACAATGTCTCATATTTCTTGTGTATGTACTTACAGTCACAATGTCTCATATATCTTGTGTATGTACTTACAGTCACAATGTCTTATATGTCTTGTGTATGTACTTACAGTCACAATGTCTCATATATCTTGTGTATGTACTTACAGTCACAATGTCTCATATGTCTTGTGTATGTACATACAGTCACAATGTCTCATATTTCTTGTGTATGTACTTACAGTCACAATGTCTCATATTTCTTGTGTATGTACTTACAGTCACAATGTCTCATATGTCTTGTGTATGTACTTACAGTCACAATGTCTCATATGTCTTGTGTATGTACTTACAGTCACAATGTCTTATATTTCTTGTGTATGTACATACAGTCACAATCTCTCATATGTCTTGTGTGTGTACATACAGTCACAATGTTTCATATGTCTTGTGTATGTACTTACAGTCACAATCTCTCATATGTCTTGTGTGTGTACATACAGTCACAATGTTTCATATGTCTTGTGTATGTACTTACAGTCACAATGTTTCATATGTCTTGTGTATGTACTTACAGTCACAATGTCTCATATTTCTTGTGTATGTACTTACAGTCACAATGTCTCATATGTCTTGTGTATGTACTTACAGTCACAATGTCTCATATGTCTTGTGTATGTACTTACAGTCACAATGTTTCATATGTCTTGTGTATGTACTTACAGTCACAATGTCTCATATTTCTTGTGTATGTACTTACAGTCACAATGTCTCATATGTCTTGTGTATGTACTTACAGTCACAATTTCTCATATGTCTTGTGTATGTACTTACAGTCACAATGTCTCATATGTCTTGTGTATGTACTTACAGTCACAATGTCTTATATATCTTGTGTATGTACTTACAGTCACAATGTCTCATATGTCTTGTGTATGTACTTACAGTCACAATGTCTCATATGTCTTGTGTATGTACTTACAGTCACAATGTCTTATATGTCTTGTGTATGTACTTACAGTCACATGTCTTATATGTCTTGTGCATGTACTTACAGTCACAATGAGGTCATCGCTTTTATTTCTGCTGACCTCTGTTCTGATTGAGGCGCCACTGGGAGTGGTCTCGTGGTTCCAGCTTCAGCCCCTGGGCCCGACATACAGTTTACCCACATACACGTTGACGGACCACGGGGTCAGATACCAGAGCCAGTATTTCCAAGTCAATACACTCTATAGAAGCTACATTAAACTTGTACTTGTTCCGATTTCACAAAGTGCTGCTACTACCACCACAACACTGTCCACTTCTACGACTACCACCACCACAACACCACCCACTACTACGATTACCACCACCACAACGACAACTACCCCTCGCCCCTCCGCTGCAATCTCCCCAGGCACTTTTTTCAAATATGCCAACTACCTGCCCATGCAGTTGTACAGCAATTGGATCTGTGCGGTCTACAGACAGCCTAGTCCAGCCAATCTTTATCGGCACAGAATCGGTAAAAGACAAGCCCAACTGGCCACTAATTCCACCCAAGAAGGATTTCGCACACTCTCCAGCTGGTTATCCCACGGAAGTCAACTGTATGATGAGGACAATATAATTTTCTTCCTGAGACAGAAACTTCTAGAAGGATTTTCAAGAAACAAGCTGGACGAACTAAGGACAACGCTGGTCCGTGACTTTGATGTTCCCGAGCTGGAAAACATTGTTGACTTTATCTATGGCCACAAAATAGAGTTGGCCAACAGGGTCAGGACAGCTGTTCAAATGTTCTATGTCAATGACCCCAGGTCGTCGCTCTCTCAGCTCGCAGACGTTGATTTGAAACATCTTCTCGTTGACCTCGCTGTAGCAGTGAATGGCCGGGCCATGTGTCTCGATTGCGATGTGGATTTCCACGATGAGCAAGCCCTCATAGATGCCCTGATTATGCAACTGTTGCCTCCAGGAATGAACCAGCAGCAAATTGGCAGAGCTCGGGAAGGAATCAACTTTCTATTGCAAGCCAAGCTGGAAGCTGACGAGACTTCTGCCATTGTTGCCAACTTTGTAGCCAGTAAGTTGGTTGTTGCATTAACTGAGATATCGAGAAAATGATTCTGTTGATTGTTTGAGTGAAGCAATCAGGAAACAAAGATCGTATTTATTATTGTTTGGGACTGGTAAAAAACGAGAAAACAATTTGATATTTGTAAATGGTTTTCTTGCTTAGAGTAACGAGGAAAAGATGACTGTCAGAGTTGATTTGTAGATTTAGCTCATTTAGCTGCCTTAAGATTGCATATGGTATCTGTTGAATGATTGATGAGTTGAAACAATGAATAAAAGATTGCACCTGCTGATTGTCTTTGAGTTGAAACAATGAATGAAAGATTGTACCTGCTGATTGTACATGAGTTAAAACAAGGACTGAAAGATTGTACCTGCTGATTGTACATGAGTTAAAACAAGGACTGAAAGACATAATCTTTGCTTGCTAGAAGTGTCACGTGAGACTGAAGCGACAGACTAACAATTTGGTTACCATGGTTTCCTGCCAGGTGTTACCAACGCAAATCTAACAGTCGCAGATGTAGACAAGCAACATGTCGGTGACGAGGCATCAAACTCCAGTGAGCCCGGCAGTGAAGACCAAAATCACAGCCAGGATGATGATGATGAGGACAACGACGATGATAATGACCTATCAAATTCCAGTGAGCAGGACAGCGAAGACAACAGTGACCAGGAGGTTAAACTGGCTTCCTTGCCTGTGTTTTGGCGCATTATGAGACCAAGAAGGCAGAAACGATCTTTTTACTGTGAGTACATGCATGATAAGTTATCATTGTCTCTTAGAAAGTCCCTTTTCCTGAAACTACAGGTAGTAGGAATAGAAAGAGACCAAAGAGGGATACTGCATGGAGGAAGGAAGGCAGGCTAGAAGAGGTGGCATGAACTGGTCGCCGATCTTTGCTACACTGAGGGATGACGGGAAGAAAAATTCTAAATAAAGAATTCAGTCGATGGTGCGTCTTCTCCGGTGTTAGAGCTTCACTTGTTACAGACACATCCGGGGTTAGACCTTCACTTGTTACAGACACATCCAGTGTTTGTTAGACCTTCACTTGTTACAGACACATCCGGTGTTAGACCTTCACTTGTTACAGACACATCCGGTGTTAGACCTTCACTTGTTACAGACACATCCGGTGTTAGACCTTCACTTGTTACAGACACATCAAGTGTTTGTTAGACCTTCACTTGTT